AAAAAAATGGTCATATTCAGTATCCTGGTGAGAATGAATATTCAAAGTTGATACAAAGCAATGGAGGCACTTGCAATGCATATACGAGTGGTAATCGTACGAACTATTATTTCGATATTCATCCAAGTCTATTATCTGATGCACTCGATGTGTAAGTTATTCATTTCGTCCGATTGATATCGATTGTTCTAATTTCTTCATCTAGATTCGCTCACTTTTTTATTTCACCACTCTTGTCTCCGTCTTCCATCGGTCGTGAATTACAAGCGGTTCATTCCGAATTTGAAAGCTATCTAGGTCAAGATTCTTGGCGTATTTTTCAAGTTGACAAATTAACATCTGATCCTGAACATCCCTATTCGAGATTTACCATCGGAAATATGGAATCGTTGCGAACAACATCGAATCTATGTGGAACCGATATTCGACAAGTTTTAATTGATTTTTATGAAAATGAATATTCAGCCAACCGTATGAGTTTAGCTGTACTGGGTAATCGTAAGTGTTGAGTCATTCCCTTTTAATTAAGATCTTTCACTTTCGTCCAAACAATTTTAGAATCTCTCGACGAACTTCAATCGTTCGTTGTTAGAAGTTTTAAAAATGTGCCCAATAAACAATTGATCACTCAGCAATATCCGGCTGATCCAGTCGGTGAAACGAGACGAAAGGTCAACTATCAGATAATTGTTATCTTATTCGATTCCTATGGTTTGTGTAGACAGTCTGCTATATAGTACCAATCACCGAGAATCGTCATATGACAATAACCTGGGTGGTTCCCGATCATCGAGAACTTTATTATTGCAATGTATGTATCGTTTTCCCATGTGTGTGCTAAATTCATCTCAGTTTTAATCGAACGTTGAAGGATATCTTCGTTTTATCTAGCCGGAATTGTATGTCTCATTTTTGATCAATCACGAAGGTGTCGGTTCACTATTGTCCCATTTCAAAAAAATTGGTCTCGCTTCCGAAGTTCTGTCTAATGCTGGAACATATTTTGCATCTGGCTTCAATTTTTTTACCGTCAACTTAGATTTAACTATTGAAGGATTAGGTAAATATCATAGACATTACAAAATTATTAACTTTTCTCGTGGATCGATAAACGGACTGAAATTTTCAGGGTAAATTCCTTGCATGATTTGAAATCCGACAAGAAAAAATAGAAAAATTTGCGAAAGCTTTCTTTGAGAAAGTCATCTGAACTAAATTGAAAAAGTCGTGGAGGGGAGGTACGGGGACTACAATTCTCGATTTTTCAAAAGTATACTAGGATTGTAGAGCACTGTTGACTTAGTAGTATCATGTACTTTTTAATGTAATGAAAAAGGAATATCTGACACAAAATTCAACGCATGTTTGCGTTTTTTCTCGAAACAATCGCACAGCAGTACCAAGTCGACAGTGCTCGACAATCCTAGTATACTTTTGAAAAATCGAGAACGTTGATCCCCATACTCCCAGAGGCTGTTCGGAAAGGGCACCACCTCATTTTCGGCGTTTTTAGACCTCTCCCTCTACCTTGTCATCGTTAGTCACTTTTCGTGAAATCCCTTTCCTCTTCCCCCATTGATGGCATTACTTAGAAGAAATTAATTTGGATACCCAAGCAGGCCAGTTCTGGTTTTCACTTATAGCTTTTACTTCCAACTATACAATATCGTTTCTTGCACCGTTCTTTCTGATCAACTGTTCAACACGTTTAGCAGAAAAGCTATAGTAATACAAAACAAAGAATCAGAATGAACAAATTTCTTCAAAACAGTTCACCTCATCACAGTTCGTTTTGAGTCAATCGATCAGAAGAAAATAAAGCTCCTTCATTCTTTGTTACCTACTAATTATGAGCATGAACTAAAGGAGACCTAAGTACAGGGTGGCGCAAAAGTCGGTATACCGAAAAAAAATTGAATATCTCCATTACGGCTCAGGCAAATGAGCTGATATTTTTATCAATGATAGAAGCATGTTCAAAGTTTATATACATAAAGACATGCTCAGAGAAATCCTTTGTTAAGTATAACTATTGATCTTAATAAAAAAATTTTACTTTGTCACAGATAACATGACAAAAAAATCAGCTCATTTGCTCGAGCTCTAATGGAGATATTCAAATTTTTTGGTATACCCAATGTCTTGCATTAAATTTTTGTACTCGTTTCAAGTTTTAAAAATTTATTACAACGTTGTAAAAAGTTACAAAGTCTTCGTCTTCAAAATACTGGCATTCATCGTTACAAAGAAAAAAAAGCGAATATAATTAAACATACGTTAATATCTTGTTTTTTATTCTTTTAAATAAAAAAAAAGCTTCTAAAGACAATAGAACTTTTGTAGCTGAATGGAAATCATCAACTCAATTAACTGAACATTGTCTTTTGAATATATTTGCATGAAAGGCAAAATTCAATTGTTTAGCAGTACGTAATGGTGACGGTTTCACTGATCAGATAGATATTTAGTGTGATATTTTGTTTTTCTTATGTGGTTTCTTTTTCTTGTTCTTTTCTTCATTCACGATTCTTAATCAAATAATTGATCAAGGTAAATTAACAAATGTATGTGTTATTGATGTGAGTAGTACAGTAAAGCTAGATTTTGAAACTGTTTTCGTGTTACTTAAACATCATGATCTACAATTAGATGATTTATTCTGTGCTGGTGATAATCCAAAACTAACCAAACAATTTTGAATAAATGCAATAAGACACTTGAAAAATGTAAGGTATTTTGTTTATCAAAGTAATAAAATAAAAAAAAACAATATTCAGGTGACAACAAGATCAATGATTAAATATTCGATTTTGACATATGTTGAAAATAATAAAAATAGAGATAATTAAAAACGAATCAATATAGTTTTTATAAGAGATTATTTTAAACTTACAATACGTATCATTGGTTAATTCATTTTATATTTTAGTCTTAATTAGTAATGAGAAAAATAACCAAGATAAATCATTATATGGTGTTTTTTTTCTGAATCAAACAAGGATCGTATTATTTACAATTGGATAGAAGATGTATTTACATATAACAAAAGTACATCCGTAAAATGTTGTTTCAGTCCATAATATCATATTTATTGTTTTTTTTTTTTTGTTTTCGAAATTTTGATTAATGATAGCAATATTAAATTGTCATATAAAAACGTTGCATCGTGATTTATTAGGAAATTATCTACTTGGTAATTTTATATTGTATGATTCAAATCAATTTTTTACAGAGAAATGCAACAAGAAACGAAGAACTTCTTGTCTATTGATCATATTCGTTAGATTTATATTAATAGTGTCTTTCTGTTTTCTTTTCTTTCTTTTGTTCGTTGTTATAAATTATATATTTCTTTAGAATTCGTTGTACCAAAAACTTCAATCATTAGTATTAGCTGATGGTGAATATTATGAACTTGTTCGATCAAATTTTGAACGTGCTGATCACCAAAGTGATGTGCATGTAATGACAATGTTTTTTTTCTTTCATATTCAACTTATTTAATAAAAAAAAATAACCCTTATTTAAGAGCGTATCGACGTTATCTAATATTGACGTCATCACTGAAGTCTTCATTGGTTCGGTGCAATTAGTAACCTATAGGCAATTAAAAATAAGTATTCTCTATCAGATTGAAAAACTAGGTGAATGATTGTATAAAATAGTGAGAGAATCTATAAGAAAAAGTGTTAATAAAGTCAATCACTTGGTCGAGGCTTCAATTTTCATGCAATAAATATATTAAAAAAAGTTTTCTAATGAGAAGATTTGAAAATAACTTTTTTGTTTTTGAATATAAATTATAATTTCTAGTGTATATAAAATTTCAATAGAAATACTGCAATTTATTATTATTGATTGACATAAGATAAATGTAAATGCGCGTGTATTTTTTAATTGATGAAGAACGATTATCTACGTGCGATGATCAAACGATTTCAAATAGGTGATTTTTTCCCCCTCTTTCTCTCACTCATTTTTTTTCTAACTGTCCTTTTCCTATTGGATGTCAACGATGTTTACCTGGTCGTCTCTCAAGGTAATGACAGAGGCCACAAGTCATAGAGCGATCTGTTTTCGTAGTGTTAGTAATATTTGGCGGCTTGCGGTTGGGTAGTAATATTGTGTCTTTTCATTTTCTTTTTTCTTTACACTATATTTTGCTCTCTCTCTCTCCCTGGTTATACGTTTATTATTTTTTTTTCGTGAACTAATCATTGTTTAATATACGCAAAAATGACGATGACAAGCAAGATCAAAAGACATTGGACCGAAAATATACTACTATTTCTCTCTTCCTCCGCACATATTTCATCTCTATCCATGCATGATCGACTGGGCCTATATAAGCACTGATCCATTTGCAGTATTTCTTCACTCCTTACTTCCACCAGTAAGTACTCTATTCGCATCAACAGTAAAACAAACGCTATGGCTGGCTATTCATACCAATCATCCTACTCATCAGGAGGTGCCGGTGGTGCTGCCGATGCTGTTTTCAACCAAGTCGATCTTAATAAGGATGGACTTATTGATCACGGTGAATTCAGTAGCTTCCTCGGTAAGATAATATTTGTTTAACTATTGTGAGTATATTTTTGTTAATGATTAATCATTACTTTTTATAGGTCAAAATACCGGTGTTGGCGCTGGCTACGGTGCTAGTTCATCATGGGAATCAGCATCATACGGTGCTGGTTTAGGTGCTGGTTTTGCTGTTGGTGCTGGTTTAGGCGCTGGTGGTTCAAGCTTTGAATCATCATCATTTGGATCCTCATTAGGTTCTACTCTTGGTGGTGCTTATGATGCATCATACACTGTTGGGGGTGGTCTTGTTAGTGGTGCCACTGGTTACGAATCAGTCTCAAGCGGTGCTGGACTTGCTGGTGGAGCAGTCTTTGATTCATCAGCAGCAGCTGGTCACGTTCACTATGCTACTGATGCTCGAGGTCTTTTCCAAGATCCAAATCCACAAATCATTCGTCGTCCAGCTCCTGGTGGTGTACAAACATACACACAAAATATCCGAATTCGCTTCCTTCAACCACCACCAGTTCCACCTCCAGGTGTAAGTAATTTATACTATCGATCATGATCTATATCTACAATATCTGATTTTGTTTTATAGCCACTCATAATCAGAGAAGTACGCCCACCTCAACCACCTGTGCCACCACCACTTCGCATTCGCCAACAAGCTCCACCTCTTCCAACACCACCACCACTTATTCTCCGTGAACGACCACCAGTACCACCAGCACCTATTGCATCTCAAACAGTCATTCGTCGTTTGGCTGCTTTACCAGTACCACCACGATCAGTCATCATCGAACGTCTTCCAGCCGCTCCACCACGACCACGTTAGTAGTTTCTTTCGCTTTTTCTTATGTTTTTATCATACTAATCATTCATTTCAGGTGACATCTTCATCGAACGTTGGATTCCATATGGACCTCAATCACGACGACGCACTATTGTTCAACGTGCTGCTGCTGCCCGAGCATACGCAGCTCCACGCAATGTTATCATCCAATATGAACAAGCTCCAGCTCGCATTGTTCGCCAATTCCATCGTCTTGGTGTTGTTGCAACTAATCCAGCTGTTTACGTTCAAACATATGGTGCTCAACTTCTTGATGCTGCTACACTTGTTTCACAAGCTCGTGTTGCTGGTGTTGTTGAAGATATCGTATGTTCATTACATAGTATTATTTTCTCTTCTTAAGTAATGATCTTTTTATTTTTATAGTCAGCACCTGGCTTCGTTGGTTACGCTGGCGCCACATACGGTCAAGAATCATTAGGTGTTTCATCAGGTTTAGCTGGAGGTGCTCAAGTTGTCGATGGTGGCCTTGCTCTTGGTGGTGGTGTCGGTTCATCATCATTCGAATCATCAAGCTTCTCATCAAGTGGTGGTCTTGGTGGTGGTGTCCTTGCTAGCGGTCTTGATGGTGGTTATGGTGCATCATCATTTGAATCATCAAGCTTCTCAACTGGTGGTGCTCTCGGAGCTGATGCTGCTCTCCTTGCTGGTGATGCCAATCTTCTCCTCGGTAAATATTTCTTCTAATGAATTTTATCATTTAATAGATATTGTAATTAAATTACATTCATCTATTTCTAGCTCAAAATGCTGGAGGAGCCGGTGGTGCATCATCATACGGATCATACAGTTCATCATATTCCTATTAAAAACTTTAAGCAACCAATCAAAAAACCAAAGATTCAAAAACTATGGTGGTTATAACTTGAACGGAATGTTTTCGTACTGGATGAAATCTAGTTTTTTTTAATCCTCTTCTCTTTATTTTTTCTATATTACTTCGATGTCATCGTATAGTTTTGTCTTTGATTTTTCTTAAAATCATATAAAGTTTAACCAACCAAAAAAGAAATATATTTATTTCCTCTATTCAATAATTGATAACGAATTGAAAGATACGAACTTTTTAGTACAAACATACGAAGTTAGAATTTTAGACATGTATATTTACTATAAACTAAGATAATATTTAATCTAAAAATGCTTTCAATATAAGAATATACTATTGATAGATTGAAGAAAGTAAAGTGAAACGTAGCGCATGATTGAATTTCATGATACTCCATCAAAGTGAAGGAAAGACAAAAAAAAACATTGAGTTATGATTATTATCATCTATCTCATATGCAAGGTTTACAATGAAGTAATAAACATATATTATAAATCGTACGTGCTATGAAATATGATATTATGTAGATTCTATGTATGTTTACATTATATGTTATTTTGTAAACGTTGATGCAAATCATATAACTAAAAAAACCCGTACAGATAGATATGATTTTTTTTTTCTTAACTTTTTATGATTCTTTTTTTTAAAATAGAGTCTGTAGATGTATCAATTAGATATGATACATTTGTCGCAATAAAACCAAGGACATAATAATCAAATCGACATTCTTTCATTGTTATTCTTCGATATGTTCGTCTCAGTAATATATGTGATAGTATACATCAATCTTTTTTCTAAACATCTTATAAATGATACTAAAATTGCTATTGAAAACAAATATTAATCAATTTATTTTGGTAAAAAATAAATGAATATCATTTGAAATCAATTGGAATTTATTTTCTAAAATATTTTTATCAATTAATAAACATATATTATTTGATCATGAGTCTTCGATAGGGCGTTATTTCATAATGAATTTTTTTATTAATAATAATGATGATAAATTATTTTCAATGAACTTGATATTAATGACGAAGAATATTCTCATGAATCATTTATTATTTTCAAATATTTTATTAAATATCGATTTAAAAATAAATATAGGAAAACAAAGAATAAACAAATCTTATTTCGTTTGAATATTTCATTAGATTGTTGATTATGAGAAGATCATCATATAAAATTGTTGAGAAATATTTAAACAAATAAAAACATAGTACGAAAAAAAATATTTGTGATTAAATTTATTCGTTATATTTCACATTTAGTATAAACAAGTAGTATAAAACATCAGAGAAGAAAATAAAATAAAAGAGTTTTTATATTGTATGGTAAATGATGAAAAACAATTGGAATGACTTAAAACAAAAAAAGATATTCATGATGCCGAACTTTTATTCAATAGTAAAACTGTACAAAACTATCTTCAATTTAATAATTATTTTTTTTTCAGTTAAGTAACATACAAAGATTTTGTCAAATTCTTTTCTCATTCGTGCAAACATAAAGCCTTGTTCAAAAAGCATGTTATGAATTTTTTAGTCCTATTTAGACTTTCACTAGAATGAGTAGGATCAACCACTTTTGATCCCGGTCTGGACCAAAAATAAACGAACAAAGACCAATAAGGACACTTTTCTTTCAAAAATCTGTTCGAAAATAAAAGAAAAACCTATTTGTTACAATGAAATTCATTCGTGAATTCTGAGATGAGTGATTGAAAAATCATATGCTGACAAAAATTGACTTCTTTTTCTAAGGGCATCTTAACTTGCCATTGAGATTGTTGTGTACCCGTATCACCAATATCCTCTTAGTTTTCATCTAAACCATTTTAATGAAGTAGGAGAGCAAAGTTCAAGAAATTTGACCATGATTAAATAAGTAGGATAATCTTTGTTTTAAATATGTTGTCAATATTATTTAATGATTTGAACATTTAAAACAAATTCTAAATAGAATATTCAAGTATTCTTTATCAAACTATACCAAAACGAAGTCATTTTTATATGTGAAAGAGCTCATAGAACTGGATTACAAGCCAAAATTCTTGTCCATTGATGTGTGCATAGTTTCTTATTGAAAATTAAGCTGCGCATAATGAAAAAATCACATGGATTTTTTTGTTTTCACCTTTATGTATCATTCAATAGAACATGAAAAGATGGTCAAAGATAGATTATTTTTAAATTGATTGATTCATGTTTTTAGGAAAGGAAAAAATACAAACAATTATGAAAGTATGAAAAAGACGAATATTTGTTAGAAATTTTCAAGCTTTTTCTTACTCAAATTTTAGTAATATTTTAAAAGGACATTTTTCTAAGTGAGTATGAAAAATTTTATTTGAATGAATTTACAAAAGAACTGTTATCTGACATGAGTCTATCGAACAAGACTACTCAAACATGTTTTCTTTTGTGATATTCATAAACAATTTTGTATTGCGAGATAAGACCATGTGTCATATCTCATTATAATCACTAGATATTGACCTTCAAATGTATTTTATATGATAAAATCCTGAAAAAATATGACCATACTTATTTAATTTCACCCTTATTTTTTTGTAATATATAAAAAAAAAATCAGAAAATTATAATGAATCATATACCGTTTAATGACAAATGTTTAACATAAAAAAATTATGTCTACGAAGTACTATAGAGCAAATTTTCAAAAGGAAAAATTTATCTGAAAAGAGACATAGGTATTACGTCATAAAGAATTTTTCTTTGATAAAATCTACGTGATTTGAAAGATTTTTTCCGTTATTTTTATTACAAAAAAAGAAGAACAAAATTAAAGTGTGGGTATAAATATGACACTTTTTATCCACACACACACGTCTGTAGATGCGCGACTACTCATAAAAATTATATAACTACTCAATAACAATAAAGAATATGAGTAGTGTGGTTGTCTCTACTAGTATTGCTTGAAGCACTATATTCTATATGGGACATCTTCCATCCTCATGGTTGTATTTAAACTGGAAAAATGCAGTAAGAAAAATGAATGTAAAATCATTTGTTTTTTGATTGTATTTCATATAAAAAGAGTTAAAAAGAATGAATTTGTGGAAATCTAAAAATTAGACGATCTTCATCATAGCCGAAATATGTGTCAACTATTCAATAGAAATCGAAATAAATGAACATAGGTTACTAGAGGATGCTGAATGCAACTAGAATATATGACTATTCTTTCGAAAATTTTGTCTTATGCTGTAGATCAAGCATCAAACATCAGCATGAGTTTACCTGTGCCAATATTTGTCATTTATGCTGCTTTTCTTCGTCAATTATCTCACGTATCATTTTTTTTTCGAGCTTTAAAGATCTTTTTCTTCTAAAAGCAGAAGAGGTGACGGGTGGATGTGGGTGTGGCTGAGGGTGTGGGTGTGGATGTGGCTGGGCGTGGGTGTGGACTGAAACGAAACATACTCACACCCCACACCCACACCCCACCCTTCACATATTGATTTCTATTTTTATTGTATTTATAACATTGATTTTGCAAGGAAAGACAAATGTTTGAATAAACAATTTACTATTTCACATATGATACTGTTATTCGATTTCGTACCAATGTCATGCTCGAGCATTTGTGCGTTTTATATCTATCCATTCTACAGATTTATTTAATAAGTACATTATCTAAAAATGGTCTCTTTTTATGAGTATGAACATATTTGTACATGAATATTTAATCATTTTCCTTTCATTTAATAAAAAAATCTTTTGGTATTCAATATAGTTATGATAAATAATTTTGACTTCTCATAACAAATACATTATTTACTCATTGTCCAAATAGATGAAAATCATAAATTCTATATTTTAATTAAAAAATATGATTCACAAGCATTTTGTCATTGATAGACAAATATTTTCATTATCGATCTGTTTACAAAATATTCATATTAGTTGAAATGATAAGATCTTATGAAAAATATTTGAGTAATTATAATTGATTGGTTCAAAATAAGTTATTTCATTTATATTCTTTTATTTTCAATTTCTTGCAAAAGAATGACAAACAGAAGAAATATTGATTTTTTTATCAAATTCATTGAAAAATGTTCAATCAATCAGATGTAGGAAGTTGACAAAATATTTTCCTCGGAAATAAAATTTTTGCGTACTATAAATAATCAAGAATATAGAAGAGAAAATAAATAAATAAAAAATGCCTTATCTTCAACGAAATCAATTTGCTTTTAAACAAACGTCTGTACCTGTCACAGTTCCAAACAACGATGTAGTTCGACTTATGTATTATTTTGATTGTGTATGTGAAGCTATTAAATATAAAGATACTGACTCGATAGCCTGATGATAACCATTTTCGTGCAGATGTTGCTCAAAAATTGCTTTGCTCTTGATTCTTGGAAGCCTTCATAACACGGACAGTATTACGATAATCGTTCTCCAGTCATATGCAATGACTGATTGATCCACTGGCAGACAGTTAGCACGTAAAAAAGACATTATTTCCATGAAACTTAATAATATTTTTTGGAAGATGCAAATTTCATTAGATGTATAAAGCTACATTCCAAAGTTTGGACACAATTTTAAAACAATCGCTCGAGAAACTGGGTAAACAGACCTTGACGAAATTAATGTGTCAAGCGGCAATATTTTTCACTCTCCTGTTTTTTCAGATGAATGATAGTCGGATCAAAGTATAATGGACACATCTATTCTGCAATTTATGTAATGATAAATCTTTTAAAATTTTGAATCATTCAATGATCAATTATTATTGTTTGTCAAATTCTTTCATATAAACATTTGTCAATAGAATGCGAGATAAAATTGATCAATGACATTTTAATTAATTAAATATTTATTTTTTAATGTATCATTCTAGAAGATAGCGATAGATATTTATATTTTGTCATTAAATAAAGTAAAAATTTTAATGATATATGAATAAAGTCACAAAATAAAAGTTAAAATATTTTTATATTCATATAAAGTTAAACGATAATCAAATGAATTTTTGTTTAATGAACGAACTGTTTGATAAACCATGCATAGGAATTATATTTAGTTTTTGTAAGAAGAATAGATTTTTCCTCTGATGTATTAACATTAATATACGACACACCTGAATAAGAAGGAAAACTTAATTGCTTTGATGCATAATATATATTTTGAGCAACATCATATGCTGAAAGTGAAGTAACATATATCTCAGGATGTTGAGAAATAATTCCAATAACTTTACTAATTCCACCTAATGTTCTATTTAATATTCCAAGTGAAGAAGTAATTCCATCAGTTTGATTAATATATGTTGCATACATTGTAAATGTTTTATAATCAAATTTAATACTAATAGGAGGAAAATTGATTATTGCTTTCCAATCAACTCCACCTGAATTACTTGTATTAACACCAACATATATAAAATCTTTATCTTCAATCATAATTAAAAAATATTTTCTACAAATTGGACAATAACTTGACATATGAGTTGGTTTAGTATTATTTATTGTTCCTAAAATTTGTTTAATATTTCCATTATTTGTATCAATTTCTCCAATTAATGTTACATTTTCAAAATTTGTTTCTATATGTGCAAATAATTGTTTTTGAAATATATCATATTGAAGAGAAATTATTGTATTTGAAATTGTTTCAAATGTTGATAAAAGATTGCCAGTTGTTGCATTAATAACACTTAATATTGTTTTGCTATTATTTGAGGGTGCTGCCATATAAACAACATCATTATTTGGATCATATGTTAATGGTACGACAGAATATTTTACATTTTTAGGATTTCCAACATCATTGATACTTAATGAACTAAATATATTAAATTGTGAAGTATCCAAATCGAGTAATCCATAATGAACATGAGTTTCATCAGAATCAGAAAATAAACCATAAAGGACATTCGATGGATCTTGTCGTGTTGCATAAACTGATGTTATCATCAGTGTAATGATCAAAATTAGAATTATTTTCATATTTTTTTACAAAATTATTTAATTATCAAATAGAATTTCTATTGTTTGTTCACAAATATCTTAATTAACTAGAAATAATAAATAAGAATATTGTGTGACAATAGTATCTTATTTCTTTTATATACATATACTTTATAACTGTTATCTTTCTTCTTTTTTTCTTTTCTTTTTTATGTATGATAACAACTATTTGAATAATGTTCTATCACAACCTTATAAAGATTATTTTTCATGACAAAATTATTTAATATAATGACCGAGTAGCAAAATGTAGAGTGATGATGATGGTGGCAGATTTATTAACTACATATAATAGAAAGAAAATTTAAAATTTTTTTTTAAAGTTAATAAAAAAGATGATGTCATTTTTTTTTATTATTTCTTCACTGTCTAGCGTTAATGTATCGTTTAAAAAATAAAACTAAAATTGTTTTAAATATCTATGTCGTACATTCTATTGTCTACTTCCTGTAGTGGATATGACTTTTCCTTGCTACAAACGATTTGAGAATGTCTTTTTCTATGCAAATTCAAATTATTTATTGGAAGGTATTCAAACTAACCCAGAAGAAAACAGTTCCAGAATTCTTTTTATTAATAAAAATTTTTAGAGCGTCATTTATACTGAAAATTTATTTGATACCCAGGAAAATTTTGAGATATGTGGTCAGTAGAGGGAACTTACACGTATTAACATTATTCGAGCACAGCGAAATTTATTCGGATCTATTAGTTTTATGTTCATAAGACCAATGCACTATTTGTTTATTTAATAACAATTTATATAATACTAGCGGAAGTACCCGGCGTTGGCCGGGAAAGTTCAATCTTAATATATGCAAGCAAAACTCCTATTGCGCTCCAGAACATGTAAGAGAACCTAATCAGTGGGGAGTAGACACATAAAATTCTATTTTTTGTCTCGGCCCTCCGATTCCTGACTCTTGGATGTATGTTAAGTCCCGGTCCCGGTTACTCTTGCCTTCGGCGGATATGAAATGCTGACATTGAAAAATTGATCAGAAGTAAAAGGTTCTTTATTCTCACACGTCTAGATCAAGAAGAGCTTCATGAAACTTATGAGTTCTATCAACTTATTATCTTGGCCAAGCATTTGTAAGACCACATACTTGTCTCGTTCAGCTCCGATTCCGACTGACTCGGATCGCGCTTGGTTACGTTCTCGGTTTTGGAGCTCTCTAACTGTGTTTCTAGTGGGAAGCTCACATGAACAATTGATTCTTTGACAGCGTTGCATGAAAAATCCGCTTTGATCAAAACTAAGCACAACGATACATCTAATCGATCTAGAGCGTCGCGTTCACAATACTCATTGATCAGGAGAATTACGACGATATATTGTACTCTATACTACTGGAATCCCACTGAATTTCGATTGGTTGCAAAGAAAGACAGACAGAGAGATTTTTGTGGTACACACCATTTAGCTACTTGAGGAGTCGATATCTATGAAAAACAAATTGTGAGTCTTATAGACCATTTATTCGAAATTTTCACCTCTCACGACCCTCAGGAAATCAATTTCCCAAAACTCGATTCGAATGTGACATGGGTTACTCAGCAGGGTCACAGGTGTCTCAGGAGGATATTGAGCTCAATAGACTTCCGATTCCTAATGTCTTTCCATGCCGATAATAAGGGCATAACCTTTGTTCATCTTTTATCGGTCAATGATGGAGAGCGATCGATCAATATACGATCAGACGCTGTGACCTTATGACCGATAATAACGGCTTCCTCATTCTTATTCTCTATTCACTCTCTTCTTCTTGCTTCTCTTTCGTTTATAAGGACGTGTTCTATACGAAGTAAACAGAGCTAAAGTAACTCAGTAGTATGTAGTTAACATCTATACCGAGAATGGCGACATCGCTACTCCTCTGGTTTCTTTTGTTGATCAACAATAAAATATATACTGCAGTAAAAACGAAACATCTCCACCAATATTGCGCTACACCGTCTTCCGATCATCCAATGATATTCGTTTCCCCAAAGACCTTGATTTCTATTAGTTTTGAGCTAACCAATAAGATTTTCCGATGACTGGGCTCCTCATTCGAACTCACCGCCTCTAAAAACCCCTGTCTGACTTTTTTTGCCGAAAACCCAAGTTTGATTAGCTGGATTCTTGGCACCTGAATTCCCATTGGTTTCAGACTGACCAATCAGATTTTAAGGTGATTGGGCCCAGATTCGGACTCGGTGCCTCTGAAAACTCCTACCTGACTTTCTTCCCGAAAACGCACATTTGATTAGGTTGTTTCTGGGTAACTGAATTCCGATTGGGTTTCGGCCAACCAATCAAATTTCGAGGCAAATGGACCACAGATTCATTCTCAGCGCCCTCAAAATCTCCTGGGTCGACGTCTTCTACTTGATCACAATATGCTACTGAATCGTTCCCTAATGCTACGGAATGCTGCAATCTGATTGGTCAGATTCAAAGGTGACCCTGCTGCAGGCGAAGGACCGCATCTTTTTGGGAAAAAAGTAGCTGTTGACCTCCCCCTAGGTGAGAAGAGGATTTTCGGAAAGTTTGGTCCCATTTGGTTGCATCATGTCCAAATGAATAACGAACAAACAAACAACTTTTCTTCTTTATATATATAGAAGAAGATAATACTCAAACTTATTTGAATAACTTTGTTCATTCTTTGTTAGTGCTGTTAGAATATTGTCTTTCGTATGACATTATTGATGTGCATTCAATTCTTTTTGTAAGTAAATAAAACTTTTTCATATTGATTATTGGATTTTAATGAACGATAAAATATAGTAGACATTCATCAGCATCGTGCAACAATGATTTATCATTAATTAGGGAGAATTTTTTTATCGTATGATAATACGCTATTTTACAGTACATATATTACATCATGAAACACGTGCTAGATTAAATGATGAAAATATTTCTTTAAGTATATATATATATATATATATAATTTCATTTAAAAATATTTTATAACCGTTTCTTATTAAAAGATTATTAACACTCAATAGTTCATCTAAAAGTACATTACGATTAGGACAATTACTAGATTCTCGCAATTCGTAAGACATTCTTATTTTTTATGAGCTTAGGTTAATTTATTGATTTAATTTCATCTTTATCAACAATTTCATCTTCATGAAGATTTTCAACGATGTATAGATGAATTATCTATAAGTGAATGAAGATTTGCATTTAACAATTGTCAATGTCATATTATTCTGTTAGAAAACAGACCGATCTATATCTCTCTGATACAAATCAATCTACTAGTCTCAACTCTTGCTTTTCAGCAACCGATGAAGTGTGGATGTGGGGTGTGAGTATGTTTCATTTCAGTCCACACCCACCCCACACCCACCCGCACCCCCAGCCACACACACACCCTAAAATTTATGCTGAGTTCCACAAACGATCGAAAAATGAAGAAACTTTCGGTCCACTCATCATTAGATCATCATCACCTAACACAAATTTTTATCAATCAATCACTTGGAAATATTTGAATAAAGTAATCACCCATGTAACTTCGAAACGCACTGAGAACGCGTCTAAACATATTTCTGACTTATTCGTGTTCCATTTTTTGTATCAATAGAGTTGTGTTTAAACGCGTTCAACGGAATTCAAGTATCTCAAATCTATTAACACGCGTTTCAAGATATGAAAAACTAGATTTCTTAGTCGAATAATTAATAAAACTAACCTGAATTTCAATATCTTTCTTGATTAATATCACCTTTTTTAAATGTATTTTTAATAACATCATAAATCGTGTTTTCATGAAATATAACAGTGTAAAATATACATACATCATAATGGTCTCGATACGACTTTCTTTGTAAAAAAAAAAGAATTGTTTTCATTGTATCAGATCGCATCTTCCGTGTTAGTCAAGTCACTCGTCCCTGCTTTTTCGAAATTTTAAGTATTCATACAAAAAAAGGACTTTGTGCATAAATAAATAATAATTCTTCTAGATAATTCAATAGTACAATATGTTTAAATTACTTAAAAACACAACAAAACAAATTAAAATTAAATACAGCAAAAAGAAAATATTTTTAATAAAAAAACGAATAGCAAAAACTTATAAATTTGTCTAATTAGATATAATTAAGAGTCACACTGAATTATGATTAGTTTTTAACCCTTTGAGGACCGGTGACTCATTTTTGAACCACTTATTTTTCAGTAAAGAAAAAAGTGTTTATTTCACATAAAACTACTAAATATGTAAGGTCACTAAGGTCATAAACAACTGTATTTGTCATATCTCATACTTTTCTTTTCTTTCTTTCCTCCTCTTATATAATTCTTTTTCAAATATCCTTTGTTCTTGTTGCTAAGGTACAGTGACGTCATAATTTCTCTCTTCTCCTCTGATCTTTTGTTTTTCGAGAATATTCTCATCAAATGAAATTATATATTATTTTCGTTCAATTCGTTTCATCTTATGTTCTGAAATACACAGAGTAAAAATTTTGAATGACTTAACTAAAAAAAAATTAGTTTTTATCGTTGTAAACGCATGAGGAAATTATTAAATAGAATAATGACATTAATTAAGATTCATTAAGTTCTTTTTTTTTTACTATGAATTCTAAATATTTACTAAATTAAAGTGATCGAAATCGATATGATTATGTGTTTACATCGTGGTGTGATTTATCATATGAAAGTTAACTATCTTTACATACTTCTAACATGATTACTTTTTGCGTACATATGTACTATGAATACCTTCACTAGAGAAATGAATTGAATTGACCAACTATAAAAAAAAGATGAATTTATAGACTCATCATTAGCGACAAAGCTGTTTGTATCATTTTAGCTCTACATAAATATTTACAAAAGAATCATTATTGACGTTGAGAATGTTTCTTCGTTATTAAGATATAGCTGTTAAGCAAGGCACGAGGCGAATGATTACCCAACGAGATTTCTCAATAAAAAGGCACATGAAATTTTGTTGTTTTATGAAATCTTTTAGAAGTTATGAATCAATTAAATGATTTTTGCTCTTAGAGCGAACATAAAGCGAGCGGATAATTGATTGATTTCAGAAAAAAAACTAATTATTGAGAGATACAGCTTCAATCCATGCTATTCTTAACACATTATCATGATGCTTCAGTTTGATTGATTATGCACCTATACAATCGTGACTATTATAGATATGTTTTTCTTGTCACGCCAATATTTTTTTTCACTTTTCTGCTTGATCGATTGCCAACAGTGTATGCATGACGTTGATGAGGAATGCATCTATCATTGTACCTCTTCCGTTCTTTCTTCACTTTTTTATGTTAAGGCAATTACATAGTGCTTTTTCATTCTTATCACTGTTTTTTCTCTAACAAAACAAAAACAAGTAAGCACGTGCAAAATAGCAACAATTAAACGTTCTTTTCGAATATTTATTTTATCGTAGTGATTTTGTCAGCAAAAAATGTCGTAGTTGAGCACAAAAACTCTTTGTGAAGAAATGAAAATAACTTTTTTTGTTTTGCAAGAAAAAGAAACTTTTGTTTTATTTTCGTGACAAAGTCGACAATAAAATATTGTATCAATAATCTGAATTAGATCGTGTTCTACCGAGATGTAATATGAGCCGACAATGTTGCTATTATTATCGATACTAGACGAAAAAGATCAAATAAAAATATGATTCAGGCGATCAGTCTTTTATATCGCGTGTTTGATAGTATTCTCTCAGATCGATAAATGGAAATCTTTGGGTTTAGTTAAGCAGATGCAAAGCTTCTGAAAAAATTGTGGGTCCGACTCTGTTATACGGTTATAGTATATGCAAGATTTTAGAGAACAAATTGTTCACTATAGAGTACAAACCATCGTAGAATTAATGCTGAAAAAATGTTGAAATTCTACACCTGTTTCACAGCGAATAATCAAGACCGCAAAAAATACAAACAGAACAGGAAAGAGATCGACATAAAATCAAAAAAAGTCAAGAAAGTCTATGGCCACAGATTACTACTTTCAGGTAAGCCTTTTCTTGACAATGACATTTTTAAGAACATTCACATGTATTTGATTGGGCAGGTGATGATGAATCTGGTAAGATGACTATTATTGAAAAAATGACATCATTGTGCGATCCTTTTACACAAAAGTGAGTTTTTTTCTGGCAGTTTTTCGAATTTCAACTCTCTTTTTTGCTAGAGAAAAAATTGATAAAATTCCTGACATTAAATGTTATATTCGTGATTCACTGAGCGTAAGTATATCTTATAATGTTCTGCTCGAGACATAGAAATCCATCAAATGATTATGAGATTTATTTTCTGAGTTTCTTATAGACATCCGGTTGCATGTCTGATTTTATAGAATTCTAGTGTGTTCATGTTTCATTGTTCGTTTTGATTTTCTTTCCTTTCAGAAAGTTCTCCGTCCTTTCGACCAGAGTATTCCACCTGTTCAACTTGAACGTCCAGAAAATTATTGGCGCGCAGCTTATATTCTAACGACCGCTCTAGCAAACAATTTTGATTATCCATCCGAATTCTATGAGCATGTAGCAATTCTTTGGGCTGATGCTGGTGTACAATTGTGTCTGAAACAATCTATGGAACGAAACTATTCAGATATTGTCAAATAGTTCGTACTTGTCAGATCCTAGTATACTGTCATTCTTCTCTTGGTTTTAGTTTTCTCGATCTTGTGAACAAAGTTAAATATCCCACTTACATTCCAAGCATCACAGTAAGCCAGTAATTATGCTGATACGTTTCCAATGTTAGCAAAGACTAGAGAATTGAGTGCGGAGAAATTGACTCAATAGGTCTCGATTACTTAAATAACAAAATCAATCATTTTGTTTTTTTTTCCTAGTTCTAAAAACGAGACTCTTTCTTCTCTTTCAAGATATGATTTATTTTCGCTTTTTGACGTGTGATATTTTCAAATTATTCTTCAAGCATCATCGAGTGGGCTTTCAGTAAGTTTCTAAATAATCCCTATAATAAATGTCTAGTCTCTTCTATTTGGAAGTCTGTTTGAAATGGATTTACGGCATGACGACCGACAAGAATGGATTGAATATTTTTGCGATGTTATTGGAATTATTTTCGTTGTGGATTGTAGTTGTTTTAATTTAATAACTGGCGAAGATAGAAGTCAAAATCGACTTCAGCAATCACTTGATCTATTCAAAACTATTCGAAAAAATGAGTACGATCAACTATGAAATGGAAATAATACAAGATTGCTATTTCTCTTTCTCCTATAGATGGCTACGAATAACATCTATTATTCTATTACTTAACAAACAAGATCTGTTAGCGAAACAAATCACAAATGATGTCCGACTAGAAGATTATTTTCCTGAGTTTCACCATTATGTTGTACCAAGAGTCAAAATCGGTATTAAAGGATAACAATTATTTTAAACAATAACTTTTTTTGTTATTTTCAGATGACTTCGACATCGACAAAGATCCCAAAATATCTCGAGCAAAACATTTTATACATGATCAATTTCTTGTGAGCTTGTTCACTTTATTCATTATAGTCATTGTCTTAGTTCATTAATCGTAGAAAGTCAATAGGGTTACCAGTGCGAAGTATTATAACTGCTATCCTCACTTCACATGTGACATCGATCTAACTGTGTCATTGATTGTAGACGATTGCCGTTCAATTATTGTGCGAGCGTGCTTGAAGCAATATGAACTTCTCTAAATTTTTTTGTAAAACTCAATACGTTTCATTGTTTTCTTGTGTATCTTAAGTTAACTTTCATCATTCACCATCACTTCAGCTTATCGAATGATGTTAATTACGGACTATGGAAAGTTTTTCATAACGGAAAAGTAACTGATATGCTTTTGATTTTTAACAAGCAATCAGTATTTTTTTTTCTATTGCTGCATATGCACAGTTGCTGACATTACATCGAATTCATTGATGATTACTGATTTTTAATATTTCGAGTAATCTAAGTAGTATTATATATAATATCAACGTGTGCGTATGAACTTGTTCACTTAGCATGACTAGTTTTTTTTAGCTCACTGATACGAGGTTTTTCTATCTCATAGAAACTTAAGTTTTTATTTTATTCCTTAGATAAAAAATGAGTGTGGGTGTGGATGTGAGTGTTGGTATTCACTGCACACACACACCCACACCTCTATCAATTCAATTTATTCAGATTCATTAATTTTTTCATACCTTCACAAATAAATGAATCACCCAAATGGAGAAGAGAAATACTGCATAACACACAGATGAACTATTAAAAAAATGCAAAATGCGTTTGGAATTTAAATATAAAATTCATTATGATTTCCATCAAAACTTATCACTTTACGTACTCAACATAGATTATGTCTACTGACTGAATTTTTGCTATTCTAAATAAATTTGAAAAATATCCACAGTCAGCTTTGATACATAAGCAATTTATGATCACATTCTCAATTACAGATAGTACATTACCATTATTTTATTAAATAATGGATTCTTTTTTCGAGCGACAATCATGTTTGAAGTGTTTAGGATCATAGAGATCTTGCGCAAAAACGTTTTTATCACAAAATAAGTGTTAACATGGCTTAGATGTACTATGAATTCCATATTTTACTTATTTTTATGATCGCAAATATAAGAACTGAATCAAACTTAGCATTATATTCTGAATCTGTATCAAGAATATAACTCATCGATGAGTATATGAAAAAGTTTTCAGACTTTTTTCTCATCAGAAAACTTTACCCGTGTTTTCCTCACCATATTCGGAACAAAAAACAAATGAAATCCATGAAAACGCTAACTTTATTGTCTAAATATTGCCAAATTCATCTACTGCTTTCATGTTACAAGCTGAAAGCCTGCTTGCCTTGATAGAAATATTCTGAAGAGGGTACATGTGAATTTTTTCGATTAGAAAGAAAGGTTTCAGATTCAGAAGTTTTTGACATACTCAGATATTATCTTTATTTTCGATGGTGGTTCAGAATATGATATTAGTTTTGATTGATTGCTTATTTTTGTAATCGAAATCTGCGAAATCTAGAATTCATATTATGTCTAAGTCATGTTTACATTTATTTTACGATAAAAATCTTTTTGGGCATGATCTCTATGATCCTAGACACTTCCAACATTATTATCGCTCGAAAAAAGAGTCCTTTATATTTTTACTTTATCTTTAGTTTTTACAGATGGATACTCACCATGATTTTCAATTTTACAAAATAAAATATAAAAAGAAAAAGAGGCAGACCATCTAAAGCAAAAAAGCTTTATTCACACAATAATATACTGTTTTTTTATTTTTATTTTTTTTTCAATTGTAAATAACTTTTTCATTTCTCTAATTCATATAAAATAACATAGTTTTTCTTTGTTTTATTGCTAAAATATGAAATTACAACTGTTACCTAATGAATTAATTATTGTACATTTAAATAATATAAAATTACTCAAATAAATACTAGCCTTTTATGTTTTGATAAGTATAGTTAAATCACAACAGTAGTATTATTTGAGTCGGAAATTATATGATCTTTGCTGGTCATGATTCGCAACTATTTCTCAGGCAAATGTTCGAAGATATTTACCATGTTTAGCAAACTTCTCAAACATAGTTGTCGCGAAGAAACTGATAAGATCTGATTTCCTTGGACGGCAATGAATACTCTCTACGTCATGAGAGATGGAAACGGGCGAACAATCCAGAACTAAGTTTTTTCTTCTGTTTCAAATAGTTTTGTTGGATATTATTGTGCATACTGATCTCTGCTGATATTGAGCATTGACGAAAGGTTGAAAAGACGAAGCCTCCTGGATGGAATCTTTGACTCTTTCATGATATCTGTTTTTGAATAGATCCAACTATGATGTATGGAAAATGACAAACCCCATTCGAATATGTCTTCAAAAATTCTATTGTCTCGAGATCGGACTTGAGTAAAACTTTTCAGAGATTTTATTTGTCATTCAGGAATGCGAAAGACATGCAACTCATTCGTAGATAATCAATTTGACTAAAGATTTTATTAGATATTCTAAGAATGACAACGAAAAATAATGTTAGAAAAAGTTTCAGAACGAAGAACTTTACCAGGTTACAGTAGGTAACAGAGCTCTGTAGAACGAAAGGTAATCACATCTCATTCAGAGATGGAGAAGATGTGTTCAGACAGTGGCGGGACAGGATTGTATTGGTCATAGTATAGAGTTATTAATAAATGTGCTGAAATTCTGTGCAAAAGATTGGGTAAAAGTGAAGACTGTCACAAAAGATCAGCTGAAAACATTTTTCTTTACAACAACTAAACAATCCGACATTGTTAAAAAAAATATGCGAAGTAGCCTACTAATTCTAAGTAATATTTGATTCAACCTATTCTGAAAACATTTGTTAACAAAATAAATATCCATAAATTATTCGATAGTGCCCATAAAATCAAAATATACAATGGTAATATTCAGTAATTTGCTCACGAGTTTCCTGTCACAGTTTCGAAGTAATACGTACCAGAGTTGTTTGACATTTAGTGTACTATAGCAATCTAGTCTGATCAAGTTTTATAGATAAATCCGCTACTTAAGACATCTACACAATCAAATTATCTCTTATTACTGATCTTGGTGATGCAATAAACATCATGGTTATTATTATAGAAAATGTTTCGTAAAAGACTATCAGCGAGTACTTTGAAAAAAGTTGATTGCGTTAAGGTAGTCAGACTTAATTTGTTCAAAAAAAACCTGTATAGTAGGGAGTCGATTATGTCTCATTCGAAGAGTTCTTCTTGCAAATGGAAATAGTTTTGATATTAGCAATTCATAATTGAAAATTAGAAAAACGCACGGAACAAACAATTCGAAGATTCAGAATGGGATGTCTTTTGAAAAATGAGAAACTTTTAGAGAGAATTGGCCTCTGATATCAGATGTTCATACCACGAGATGGCATGAATAGCGACGGAATGCAAGATAGGACGAATGTTTGTTTGTCCACTACTGGAGTTCTGCTAGATGGTCTACTCATGAAAAGCTAAAGTCCTTCACATTATTCAAGTAAGAATGCAAGGTTACCAGTTCTATGAAACAGATCGCGACCGGCTTTAACAACTTCTACTATGCAACGTACAAGAAAGGAGTGCAATCTGTTTTCTCTTAGCATACTATGTGTTTATACTATACAATAATAGACTTGCTTTTGAAAAATAAATGATAGTTCAAAAGTGTTTGAATATTTAGTTAGATACTTTGTCAAATAGAGATTTGCAATACTTACTTTTAATTTTTTACAAAATTCAAACCATCTAATGAGATATTCAGCAACATTCAAATATTTATCACGGAAATTATCTTTCGACAATCTGTCACTTCTAGCAATGCTCATATTAGCTGATATCTGTGTGGACACCAATAAGGAAAACAAATCAGCATTACTTTGTCATATTCTATTGATCAAACAATGAGCTGATGCAAAAGGCAAATCAAATAGTGGCGGAGCATTATTTTCATAGAGTTAAAATCGAGTTATCTCGTGTTTCATGCTGCAAAATATCCTGCGCTTAACTTGAAATGTTAATAGTAGGGTGTGGACGGATGTGCGTGTGGGTTCAAGTGTGAGACCGACAGTGTGTGAATGTGGAATTGCCTGTGGCCAGTGGCGGATCTAGGATTTTTAAAAACGTTATATCTCACGTTCAGAGCATGGGACCCACATGAAACTTATGTAGGATGATATTGGACCCAAATGGAAGGCTTTTACGAAAAAAATTTTTCGATCGAAGTTTGCGAAAAAATTTCGTTTTTAAAATCGCCGCCCCCTAAAATTTTTTTTGTTTTTAGCGATAATCTATTGTTAAAAATTTCATCGTAATCTACATCGAATTTCATCGACAGATTTCAAATTTCATGTAAAAATATGCATCCGTTCGGAAGTTATAACGTTTTGAATCTTTGTTCCGTTTGTTGGGACATATTTCAAAAATTGAAAACGTTATAGCTCCTGAACGGATACATATTTTAACATGAAATTTGAAATCTGTCGATGAAATTCGATGTAGATTACGATGTAATTCTTAACAATAGATTATCGCTAAAAACAAAAAAAATTTGAGGGGGTGGCGATTTTAAAAACGAAATCTTTTTCGCAAACTTCGATCGAAAAATTTTTTTCATAAAAACCTTCCATTTGGATCCAATATCATCCTACATAAGTTT